GTATTATGGGAAAAATCCTTTGATTGGTCTTGGGATTACTTGTTATGAGATTTTGGAGAAAGCCAGAACTTCCATTGTTCACAGTTGTTTGGTTAGTGTTCTGAGCAGGATGTTATGGATTCTGATTTTGGCTTTCATGTGCAGCAAATTCGGAGAGATTTTTGATGAAGACTATTTTATTAAAACCCTGGAAAATGATGTAAGAGTGGTGGATAAGGTTCCTGGGTATATAATGGAAAGGTTTGACTACAATATGACGAATGTTTACAACTTTAGGATAAAAGCATGGTCATCCATCCAGTTCTACAGAGATACTGTTCTGCCAAAGCTACTTGAAGAAAAGTGAGCTATTATACTTACTGTATTTTCTTTGGGAAATGCTTGCCTCTCAGTGGGCTTTGGTCATTGATGATGAAATGAGCTAAAGATTTTCTTTATCTTTCTGTACTAATGTTGATAGGTGTCACCTTTTTCTTTTCTTATATGTTAATGCTTGCCTTGCTAAGGGATGGATCTGCTGGTAGTGCTGGTGCTTTAGTTATTTTTTACATGCCGTTTGAATGACTGGAAGGGCTTAAATATTGTTGAAATGTGGCATTGTTCTCTTTGTGTGAGGAGTCCATCATAGGAAAACCATCTCTGGTAGAAAATGCAATTTTTGGTCCAGTATACCTGTCTGTTTTTGATAAATAATGTTAAACAGTGAAATCTTTTAGAGTTCCTTTTCCACCGATTCCATGAACTGCAATAAGTAAGGGTGTGAAATGTTTTAGGTTAGTTGCAGTAACCTTGTCTTTTTTCTTCATGTTGGTTTCCAGAGAGTTAACCATTTTACTCTTCTTTCCTGTTGCGAATTCAGGATCATAAGGATCTCTCCTTTTGCAAATCGATTGTCCTTTGATGCTCCTTCAGCAGTTCAACGGCTTAGGTGCTTGGCAAATTATCAAGCTTTAAGATTTTCTAATCCTATTTTGACTATGGGTGAAGCTTTGGTTGCAAGAATGAAAGAACACAGTGTAAACAATGGTGGCAAGTACATTTCTGTGCATCTTCGGTTTGAGGAGGTTGGTTAAACTGTGGGAAACTATTATCTGTCTTGCTGCTGAGCAAAGATAAGACTTTGTAAGAGTTCGGATGACTAGTCATATTGTTCTATGCAGGACATGGTTGCTTTCTCTTGTTGTGTATATGATGGTGGAGAAAGTGAAAAAAGAGATATGGATGCTGCTAGGGAAAGAGGCTGGAAGGGCAAATTTACCAAACCTGGTCGAGTAATTAGTCCTGGAGCAATCAGAGTCAATGGAAAATGTCCTTTAACTCCTTTAGAGGTACTAATTTTATTTTCTCTCTTGATGTTTCTAGTTGCTCATTCTTAATTCCTCCAATTATGTTGTCAGAAGTTGGTTTTGTTTACTCAATGATCAATCTATACTTGTATCCTCCTTTGCTTATGGGTTATGTACTTTCATGCTATTTTCTTTATCTAATGGTATTAGTAGTGCCATGTAGCCTCTATGTTTCTTTTTGGAATTTACCATTAGTATTTAAGATTATGTGCTTGAATGTATGGAAATGTACCTTTCTGTGTGCTTTGAAGCATATTTAAGTAATCAGGATGCAAAATTTAATATCTTTTCATTTCCATTTGGTAAGTCTGAAGTGGCAAAGTACATCCTAGTTGGGATAGAGTCAAGATGGAGCTTTACAGTTTCAAACTGATTTTGTGCTTGAGGATGTCAGTTTTAAGTAAAAATCTAATGGTAGCAAGTCAGGTACCTGTGGTGGAACCTGAAGTTGAATGCAATTTGGTGAAGCATCCACTCATGAATTTGTTTCCAATTACTGTCTGGATACCTAGACATGAATTCAATTCATAAAAGTTATACGTGAAGCAAATATACATTTATCATATAGGAATCAGTATTATCTTCAACAGAAAGAGCCTATATCCAACTATGAATCAAAAAGTTGATAAGAACCAAATCAAGTTTTATAAATCGGGAACAATTTTGACATCAAAGGAGTAGTTCTCCTTCCATCCACTTTTTGATTGTCCTTATGTCCTTTTCTGGTGGTTCGAGAAGAATTGTCCACTATCAAAAGTTTAAAGTCATTAACTACCAAATTCTAGGAAAGACTCTTTATTGATATGTTTAGTTGCAAAGATTCTTAGTTCAAGTACATCAATTTAACTAGGATGAAGGGAGTTTGTGGGGACAATTTGAAATGAAGGTGACCCATCTAGCTTTTTATTCTCTTCTCATTATACTCTTCTAAAATGATTAAACTAACTATTGACCTTTGTGGTCTTCTTCCACATTGCCTCTTACCCTCCTAATCATTCCAGCCATGCGTCCAATTCACATTGGACGATTTTTCATTCTCCGTTTTGCAATGACTTAAATTATGGATGCTTCAATGGTGCATATTTCTAAATTGTCCATCCACTTGATTGTGTCTGTATTATCATGTATTTGATCAGGTTGGTTTGATGCTACGGGGGATGGGTTTTGATAAAAATACAGCTATATTTTTAGCGTCAGGAAAGATATATGATTCTGAGAGGTATATGGCTCCTCTGCTCGAAATGTTTCCGCTTTTACAAACAAAAGAAATGCTCGCATCTGAAGAAGAGCTAGCACCATTTCAGGTCTGAATGATTTGATTTTAGTTGTTAAAGTTTTTTTAGTGGTACTATGTTTTGTTTAATTGAAGATCAAGTTTTAATTTGAGTTACTGCTTTAAGAATTACTCTTCCAGGATGGCTGCTATAGACTACACCGTTTGTCTTCACAGCGAAGTATTTGTGACAACTCAAGGTGGAAACTTTCCCCATTTTCTTTTGGGCCATAGAAGATTTTTGTATGGCGGACATTCCCGGACGGTTAAGCCTGATAAGCGAAAGTTGGCAGTAATCTTTGATAATCCAAATATTGGGTATGATGTCTTTTCTTAGCTTTGTTTTTGTCTTAAATCACAGCATTTGTATGCTATAGTTTAGTGCACACGTGCAAGGACTCCGTATGTTAATCTGGTTATGGTGCAAGAGAGTGTAAAGGCGGCCTCTAAATTGGTTTAATAGCATGCTTCAGCTGGAGAGAAGCCCAGTTAGCGTATTTCTGCAAAATGTGAAAGCGCTATGAAAGGCACCTTGGTTATAATATGCTCCCCTATTAACCTTCTTTCGTGTTGCCAAGCTACCTAGAGAGAACTATATAGCTTTCCTAGAAGGCAGGAAATAAGCTTTTGATTTTGGCGGGGGTTTTTATTGGATCAGTATATATGTTTGTTGTCTAAAGTTTTTGAGGGCAGAAAATGATGCAGCATTCATGTGTTCACCTATCATAATGACATCAATGGGTGTTCACATTGTTGTGTAGGTTTAAGTTTGCTTTTGATATGATATTAATGTATCTTTACCTATTTAATTATGTTTTAGTGACCTTGTCTCCAGGTGGAGGAGCTTCAAGAGGCAAATGCTAAGCATGCGAGCTCATAGTGATTCCAAAGGGATTGAGCTCAAAAGGCCAAATGACTCTCCATATTCGTTCCCATGCCCAGATTGCATGTGCCGACAGAATAGAACAGAAGATTCAAAATTGTCATCAGTAACGTGATCTCTCCCAGTAAATAGTTCAAGGTGTATGCCTGCTGTAATTTTGTGTGTGCCTCTTGCTGCTAACGTCTTGATTGTGATTCTTTCATTTTTTCCCCTCTCAAATTGGGAGAGGGCCGAAGTTTGATTCTTGGAATTGTTGGATGACTGATCGATTAGTATTTCCTGGGGACGTGTTGAGCGGTAAGTGCATCAATCTGCAAAATGATGCCAGAAGATCTTTCAACCGCACCAGTTTCTCAGGCATTGACTTGACATCAATTCGTCTTGCAGCTGTTGTATCTAACACGATGTAAATCGACACACGATATAGTGTCCCAGTCCTTTTGCGCCCTTTTTGTATCTTGTACATCAGTTAGATGTATTAGCATTGTAAGACTTTAGAATCAGGATGAAAAGTCCATATCTATAAAACTGGGGTTCCAAATTTTTCACTTCGGATGCCCCTTTTACCAATGGCACTGCTTTGGTTTCTGGTTTGATACTTGCCCTTGTATTGAATTTGCATTGCATGGCTCGTATCATATCATATTTTGACCTTGATTGTTTTCAACTTTCTTCTGGGGTCGCAGGACTCTTTGGGGCACGAGGCTGATTGAGAATCTTGTTTATGAGCTTATCAATGTATGGAACAATGGTTCGAACACCTGTTGATCTTCTGCTTCTTTTGCCTTCTGACCTTGCTAGATTTTGAGTTTTATGATTGTCCAACCCTGGCATGAAAATTCATGAAAAGGAAATGAGATACTGTACAGGAATTCACCCTATCCTGAAAGGTGCTTGCTCATCATCTCTTCATCGATACTCCTAAATTTTTGTTTTGTTGAACAACATCGTGCTTCTGAAGGCTGAAAACGCACAAAACATTGAGACTTCTTTCATTGCAAAAATTAAGGCTTACTCAAATGTAGTTCAGATCAATTAAAATTTTTATCCTGCAAGTTCTGAGTTGACTTCGTGAACATGATTTCCGATTGTTCTTGCTAAGCAATAAAAAAGATTTCTTGGCTTTTCTTTTTTTTTTTTTTAAGAAAATAAAAGAAAAAGGAAGAAAAAAAGGGAAGGCTCATCAATAGTTGGACTTGTATCAATTAACTTGCAGCCCTAAGGTTTACATCAAATCTCACGTTGGCGCTATGCATCCTTAAATTACAAATTGTATCCATATTACTCATCGCAATTTTATTCTAGACATGTTACCCCCTATCTACCAGTCACCTCATGTACCCTAATGTTTTATGTTGTCACTGAAATTATACGAAGAACAAAAGCTACCGTTCCTAGCAAAAGTTGGCATCTAAACAAAATAGATAAGCACATATGTTTTTCTATACTTTCACAAGTACCATGAGTGCAAATAGGCTAAAAAACCAAACTATGAAAAACATGAATTGAAGGAAAAGGAAAAGAAAAGAAGGGTAAGACTACGAAACCAAAACAAAAGGAACACTATAAATAGATGCAGCTGATGCTGGGATTTTCTACTATTCGCCTGACTGGAGCAGATAACTATAGCTAGTAGTCTAGTGCATTTTTCTGGGATTCTCAAGCCTGCCACGAAGAAGAAGAAGAAGAAGAATAAAACAAGTCAACATGGGCATCCATGGAAGCCTCAGCTCAGACCAGCTTAACTTCTTCAATACCCAAGGTAATAATCCCACATCATCTATTTTGTTTTTGGTGGTCTAAGTAATAATTTATATGGGCTTTTAATTTATGAACAATAGAGCTGATGGAAGATTTGATTCTTGATTAATTTGAATGCTGTCTGATACTAACAGGATACTTGGTGATGGAATCATTTTCAAGCCTAGAGGAGATAGAATCCATGAGGAAAAGAATGGATGATTTGCTTGATGAATTTGACCCTTCTACAACTTCCACTATTTTTTCCACCAAAACCCACGTAAGAATTGTGAAAACTATGATTGGCAGCTAATCAAGTTTTGCTTTTTTGTTTTTTGGGTTGCTTTGATTTTAATTGATTTTTTTTTCTGGGATTTGTTTGTTTGTTTAGCAACATGCTACAAATGACTACTTCTTTGAAAGTGCTGAGAAGATTTCATTCTTCTTTGAAGGTATTGTGGTTGTTGACTCGTGAGCTATTGTCCTCCTTTTGATCCACTAATTCCATTTTCGTCTTTTATTTGAATTTAATGTGTTTGGGAGGATAAACAGGAAAATCGTATGTGGAATTGAAGTAAAGTAGAAATTTTTTAAGTTTAGATGCCCTTTTTTGGTTTGTTCCGATTATTCCTGATGAAATTTATACGGTTCACAAGTGGGCTACTTACCTAATTATTCATGTTTTCATTGGATATTGTAGAAAAGATACTGCTGGTTTCATGGAAATAGACTTCTCTCATCCTACTGTTTTTCCTTTTCTTCTCAAACTTTTTCCACCCCTCCCTTTCCTTCTCCTCAAGTCTCTTCTCCTGTCCTTCCGACCAAAAACCCATTGACTTTTGATGCACACCTACCAAGGCCCAACACTGGTGATATGCCTGTTAATGGTATTAGATAATCAGATGCAATTTAAACATTATAAAATATTTTTTCTTTGCTTTCAATAAGTCTCTTGATATCTGCTAATGGGTATACTGTACTTTGCAGTAGTCTTGATAGAAGTGCCTTGAACTTGATTTGTTGATTTGCATTTCATGTGTTGTATAGTATGCTGATAAAAGTTGCTTTGCAGAGAAAGCATTTGATGAGGATGGTAACTTGAAGCAACCGAAGAAACTCTCAATCAACAAAGTTGGACATGGTATGCTATGAAGGAACTTTGTGCTTATTTAATTAATTTATACTGGCATTGAAAAATATTTTAACAATAAGTATTGTTTTGCAGCCTTAGATGAGCTTGATCCTGTATTTAAGAAGTTCTCTAGGTCAGATAAGCTGTCTGGGTTGTTGCTTTCATTGGGTTATAAAAAACCAGTTATTATCCAATCCATGTACATCTTTAAGGTATTCCTTTCATTGTTATTATTGAAATGCAAGTAGCTTTCATTAATGGTATTAGCTTCATTGTGAATGAAGAATGTATGCTGTGCTACTTCCAAATTCCAATAGTTACAAAAGGAGTGAATCTTAAGTTTTTGAAAGGTTTCTTGTCAAAAGTCCTTATCTTTCTGCATTTATATTTGGACAATACTAGGATATATATTTGAAAACTTCTATACTTTAAATGTTTCAAGGAAGAAGTCTTCATGCAGTATCCATCGTTTTTTCTGACATTCCTCTCCCGACCTAAGGCATAACTGAAATGGATGTATTTCTCAGTAAATGATGCACAAACTTTGGATGGCTTATATTCTGAAGACTCAAAAATAACTTTGAAGCCTAATTTTTTCACTGGTAATGAATAGTTAATTTTAAACATTTTTAATTAACATGGAAGTTTTTCTGTTAAAGTGATGCCAGTTGACCTGATGACTTTCTTCGATTTAGATGCTGATGTTATCGTGCATGCTTGGTTTCTCGTCATAACATTTTAAACTTTAATTTCAGCAACCAGGTATTGGAGGTGAAGTAGTGCCGCACCAGGATAACTCCTTCCTCTATACTGAACCATCAACTTGCACAGGGCTGTGGCTTGCTTTAGAAGATGCAACACTCGTAAATGGTTGCCTTTGGGCCATTCCTGGATCCCATAAAAGTAACAATCTTCCTCTATTTAGTTTTTATTTCTTTCCCAGAAGCATACCAAATCAAGCCATAAAGAATATTTGATTGTTTACAGATGGCCTTGTGAGGAGATTCATTAGAGATGAGAATGGTGTACATTTTGATAAGCCATCTCCATCCTATGACCAAAAAGATTTTGTTCCTGTTGAAGTGAAAGCAGGGTCTTTGGTAGTCATTCATGGAGATCTCATCCACCAAAGGTAACTTTCTCAGGAACTTGAACAATGATTAGTGGTTAAGTAGGAAGAAAATTCTGATCTTTGTTGAGTATAGATGTTTAATTAACATAGTTTATTCCATGCCTTCATCATGATTTTTTATTTTAACTTATTTGGTCTACAGTTTTGAGAATCGGTCATCACAATCAAGACATGCTTACAGTTTACATGTGGTGGATACTGATGGTTGCAGATGGGCACAAGATAATTGGTTAGTGACTGCAGATGCCCGTATTTTAATTCCTTACTCTACCATGACTGTGATTTTTATCTGGGCACACCTTTAGTGTTGATTGTTTTGATTCTTTGCTTTACATTCCAGTCTAAAGGTTTGGAAGATCCAGGTTAAATTTTCCTGTAATGGTTATGGAATTCAAGAATAATTATAATGGCATATCTTCTTATAAAATTATATATTAACAGCATATAGATGAGAGCTACAATCAGTTAAAGATGGCTTTCTTACCTGTGTTGCCAGTTCTAAAATTCATTGGGCGCTTTATGCTCTTTTTGTTTTTTTCTCTGTTAAATTATCATGTGGTCCTTCTTCTCGAAGTTAATCTTATCGATCAATATATCTTAAGATATTGAGTATAGAGCAGCCTACAGTACTTATACGGGGAGAACACCATTGCTATTGGTCTGAAAATAGGACTTGTGGTTCAGTTTGTGAGGCAATATCAAGAGTAGGACTTCATTGTCTTTCTTGTATTTTTATTTAACAAAGATTTGTTAATTGAATACTTAAGAAAATGAAGGTGTTTTTGATATGTACAGAGATGTGAAATCCAGAAACAGGTAAGCTTTAGTAGCAGAACACTAGGAACAATCCTGTGGTAGTCTTTCTTTAAGAATTTATTTATCCACATTCTGTAGGCTCATAGATGTCCCAGTATATACCTCAGAAATAATGATTTGCCAAGTAGTTGGAATCTTTTTGAATAAGACAAATTTTGACTATTTCATTCTTCTTTAGCTCCTTCTCTTCCTTCACATTCCCTTTCTTGCTTGCTTTGATGCCAAGCTAGCTCATGATTAGCTGAAAAAGAATTGATTTAATGCCCATTCAATACATAAACTCTTAACTTCACACGCTATTCTATCCAATGACTATAGACTAATGCCTTGTGGAAGTTTTGGTGAATTTGTTATAAACATCCTGATAATGCTTTTTAGTTTTATTTATGTGGGATATAAATTGTGCTAACTCCAAGACACACACGCACACACCCCCCCCCCCCCCCCCCCCAAAAACAAAAAGAGTAAAAGGACACTTTGCAGAGCATCACTCGGCGATATCATAGGATGATGCATGAGAAAAAACTAGGCGTGTCACTAGATGATGTACAATTAGAGAACAAAAAGCTTTCTTGCCAAGCTCCAGTTTCTTAATATGCTAACCATCTTGACATAAATAGATAATAGTGAAACAAAAAACCAAAATTTGAGAGATGATACCAGTAATGTAGGAAGGGGCAACTGCACACTTCCCGTAGGTTCCCTGAACCTATAGAATATGCTAGGTGATTTGCTAGAAATTCTAATTGGTTCCCTTAGTATATCAAAAGAGTTCTATTTCTGATCCACAATGCAAACTCTGGCTCCACTTGCTTTGTGATACTCTGTGATTGTGTAAAGAGTGCTGATGTGCTTGCCTTTTATTAGTGTATGAATCAGAAATTTTGCAGTGCATGTGGATATTTTACACAGAGAATGTACAATTCAACAGTTTTGATAGTATTACCTCTCGTCTTCATGTAGATATTTATAAACACTAGACCTTGTGAATTTGCTTTTCAAGTCTCGTGGACATAAACCGTCATGAGTAGTTTGTATTAGTCTCATGACACTTGACAAAAGGTTCAAGTCCGGTGCAACTGGCTTAAATGATGTGCTGCAATTACTTGCCCATTTATAGTAATATATCTGAAAGTGTAGTTACAGTTGCACCATATCTTATTAACCAAAGCTCCCGATGATGTGATGGAATATTTTGCGCAATTTCATTTCAGAAAGATAAGTACTACATCTTTTCGTGGTTTTGGACCAATTAGCATAACATTAAGACTTTGTGGACTTGAATTCTGCTAACAACTGTTACTCTGATCTTCTTTTGTTTATCGGTTTCAGCTCAACTAAAAGATTAGAAGTGGAAAGTTGACGACCACTATGTTACCCTGTCCTGTAATCTATGTTAGTATGATCAAGTCATTACTGGCTGTTCACACTAATAGGAAAATGATCAAGATATTCCATTCCAAGATCTTACCCTTTTTCCTTAGCAAAGTTGAGATAAAACGGTGTTTATATCTGTAATTAGTAATTTGCTAACTACTAGTGCCATTTTTGGTCCTGATAGCCTGCTGAACTCTCAAAATTAACTTTTACTGGCCACTTTACGTGCATCCTAACATCCTTTCCTTTGATAATTGATACTGTAATTTGCCTAACATTTGCTTATGCAATTGTTCCTTTTCAGGATAAGGAGAAAAGTAGATCCAGAGCCCATTTATGGATGATGGATTTTGGCCTGACTGAACATATTTGCAGTTTGCGTAATAACCTGAAGCCGGCCTGCGTATTATTAGTTGTAACCTCGTTTTGTGCTCCCATGGATGTAAGATGGAGTCATTTCTTGCACAATGCGAACTACACTTGACTTTGGTTGATTGTCTGATCTACAATAGAAGAATTTTTTTGGAACAGGACTCTCTGCAATTGCACCATATAATTATTGACCCAGATGGAATAATCTGAATTTGAGTGGATGGAGTTAATTGTCCGAAACTACCTTCTGTGAGTAAAGAAATTTGTTGTATTTTTGGTACGTTACTATTCTAATGTCTATACTTTTAGTATTTAGATATGTTGCGCCCGCATAATATAGTATAATTGAAATTGACAATTGCAAATGTCTGCAGCAGATTTGTCTCGAATCTGGGTGGAAAAGGAGCATCACATAATAGTAAATAGTACACTTGCGGCAGATATGGATTATTGTACGATGCATTATTATCACAAAACAAAATATTTAACTTAGGGTGCTGTTGATAAAACCGTTAAATTATTGAATTGTTTTCAGAGTCTGAATAAGTTAACATGTTAAGTTACTGAATTGTTAAATGTTAAATTTAATATATTTGAGTGTGTATTACATATCGATCCGGTTAAACTCAGGGGTTAATGAGTTTAATTGAGGGTCTATTAGGATGATGTCATAAATATAATTTATTTAAAATTTATAATATTGTATGTAAAATACCTAAGAACATATTAATTTCAATATAGACATATTTATATATATTTGATGTTTCAAATGCATTTAACAAGAAAATACAAAAAAATTAAAACGATCAAATAGTTATTCAATGAACATTAACAAGTTTAGAATTAAAATTATGGACTTGATTGAAAAATAACATCAAATTTTAGAATAACATTTATAAAATATAAAATATTTGACGTATATTAATAATTTTTAACAACCGACGGGTCAAAACATAATATTTAAAATGCTTCGACCCCTCATCACACTTTTCAATTTCTTCCTCCACTCCTGACGCATTCCATAGAGCACAACAACCAGAGTTTCATCTTCCTTTTTCTCCTGCCATTTTGCAACTCCTTTCTTCTTCTTCTTCTTTTTTTTTTTTAAATTTCATTTTCATTCTTATTTTGTTAGTTATTTATTTTCAAACTCATGAAATATCAAGTTTTTATCTGTTTTCTTGAAACTTTTCTCTTCTCCACTCCGTTTTTTGCATTTTTTTTTAGATCTTTTCTTCTTTTGAATACAAGATTTAATTAGATCTTGTTTAAAAAAAGGTTAAAACATTGATTTTTTATGGTTGAATTGAAGTGAAAGAGTGAAAATGGATTTACAGAGGAGGGAAGAGCTCACAAAAATTTGGAGTTAGAGGTAAGGAAGGAAAAAGAAAATTCAACAAAATGGAAGATAAGATTTTCGGTCAAACCCGATTTTTTACTGGGTTTGATCGAGTTTCTACGACCCTAAGTTTTTAAGGTAACTCGATCGGACAGGACATTTGACTGGTTCTCGATTTGACTGGTTGGTCTAATCTGAGTTTAAAAACATGGGTTTTTTTAGAGTAAATTTTGATTAAAAAATTCAGTATCATTTAATTCATTCAAAATATTTTTTTACTGTTGATTATCAACTGTGTTTGAATATCTTAAGATTTGAATCAGTCAAAATTTAAATGATGAATTGGATTATCAAACAGGGCTTTACATATATCATACCCTCAAAATAAGAAATAAAAATAAAAAAACAAAGAACTGAACATACGTAACGGGAGTCTGAGCAACATCTGAGATGGATGGATGATATGGCAGAAGATAAGAGCTGACTCGATAAAGTTGTACTAATCCCAGTTTGCACCATTCAAAGTTTTGAAGGTACAACATAGAGTTTTAGGTACTGCATTATTGCAAACAGACAATTAGATGGAAAGATTTACAGGATAAGGTTTCGAATTGAAGGCGCAAAATGAATTCAGGCCATAATTCAGATCTTTTGACCTAACGCGTCATCTTTTCTCCAACTGGAGCCATAGTTACCCCAGAAATCTTTTTAGCAGCATTTGCTTCCCAACCTGAAAACCAAAGTGCAATTAGGGAGAACGGTCCGCAAAGGTACAATATTGAGTATGTGGTTAATAATTAAGATTAACTTCTGATTGATGTCTGGAGCATTCGAGTCGGTGAAAAGAGTAACTAATTGACACAACATGTACCTCAACTCAGGACTTAATTCTAACTTCTAATGAGAAAGAATGAGATTATTCTTTTACAGAGACTCGCATCTGTAAGTTGCTAAAACACCATCCAAAATTGTTCAAGAATTTAGAATATAAAGAGGAGGAGGACATGGGCAGCAAAATGTTCATACCAGCAGAAACATCATATCCTTGGAACTGGAGTTCACGGTACTCTTGGCACAAGGCGCAACGCTCGCAACAGAAATGAAGGATACAATCATGGCATGAGCCTCCCATAATACCGTATTGTTGCCTTATCTTGGTGCGATAGCCCATGCTAACAATCCATGACAAGGACCCATGATTCAACAGGAGTAGACCTAGCAGACAGAAAACGCACCCCATCTGGCAGCAAGCTATATATCAAAAAATTTAAAAAAAAAAAGAAGAAAATTAATGATCATGAATGCATTTCATATCTGATGATAGCTAGCAAGATTAATGATGAACAACTATAAGAAAAGTTCTTGTTTTGTACTTAACAGGATTGGCCTCTATCCACGATCTCAGCAATCCTCCCAAAAGCAACACAAGGGCACCAGCAGGCAAGGCAACCTGTCAAGCCAAAATGTTTATGAACATGAAGCATGGGTTGCATTATAATAGAACAATTAAGACCCTCAGAAACCTTATAGAATGGTATCTATTGGGCATTTGAATTCTTGGAACTTACAGGAACGGCAATCTTCAGTGCAATCACAGAGGCCGGTAGACCAATCGTTGTTCTCATTTCCAGAAGCCATGCTTGGAAAAACTAGTAGGGGTGTGGTAGTAATAGGAAACCAAAATTGATTAGCTATTAGCTAGAATCTATATTGAAACACAAGAGGGACCTCGAGTGCAATTAATTTTCAGGGAATGTTTGCTTTCATAGGCGTTATATAAAGAGTCAGTCTAAAGAGAAAGAATCATTTGTAATCCGCCAAAAAAAAAAAAAAAAAAAAAAGATTTGGCTGTACCACAAAACCATTTACAAAATGGGGTCGTTTCAAAACTCATCAACGTCCTTGCGAAGATTTTAAGGTATGCCCATGAACGTCGGATTGAACATCTACAGCATGTTAAACATACATAGGCCGTTGCAGTCACCGTCACTACCCAGCTTATTTCCCATGGTCGCAACATAACATCATGGCAAAATGACCCCTTCTAGCTGGTGGAACATAATGGAGAGAGCCAATGGAAACTTTACAGCAAGGGATGCGATGGAGATGAAAAGGAAGTGTCATAGACAGACAATTTTATGTGCATTGAAAGGCACCTGCAATAATGGTATAGACAAGACATGAATCAAGACAAAGAGGATGCAATTAGTGTTGTTAAACCAAACAAGAAGCTCGAAAGCTCGAATGGGCTCGGCTCGATAATGCGCGAACTTGGCTCATTAATTTTAATAAACAAGTCAAGTTCAAGCTAAAAATTTACTCGATTAATTAACAAATTAGGCCAACTCTTGTTTGTTATTCAAGCAGCTCGTTTGGTTCAATAAGAAAGGACATATATGTCATTTCATAAAACTTTTGTGATTGAATTGTGGCATTTATATGAATATCACAAAAATTGACAAAAAAAAAAAAGCTGTTTGAGATTTTGAGTTTGAGCGAGCTCAATTCACATGTGATAAATAAGTCGAACTCGAGTCACAAGCCCTATTTATCGAACCGATCTCAAACACACTTCAAGACTCGTCCACTTAGTCGGGCGAGCTTGAACCTGGCTCGACAGAGGCACGAGTCAAGTTCGAGAATCAAATATTCGATTCAATTCGGCTCGATTAACAGCACTAGATGAAATCCACTAGCTACAGTAGGTTTCTCACCATTTGTCTTTCCATTTATTTATATTCAAATTACTATATAATTTTTTTGAGAATCATCTGATTATGTTATCTTTTCTCGTTTTGATGGTGTATACATCAACATATTGAAAATCGATATTTGCTTTAAGAATACTTGGGCATTCAATTTGCTTGAAATATTTAAATGCTGAAAAATTCATCACATAACAAAGTTTTGCAATGATTAACCAACGAATAAAATTAAGTCAATTTAATATGAATTTCTGCATATAGTTAATATGAGTGATTGAATTATATTTTGAACGCTGTTGATTTCAAATTCATTTGTTGTAATGTAATGGAGTGGAGAGAATTTATATCTAATTCAATAGAGAGGACCTGAGTCCATAGTAAGAAAAGATTCTGATTTGGACAAGCTACCTACAAAAGTGGATTTGATAAGGGAATGTATACTTGCCACTCATCTATTTGCACAAGCCTCCCTCTTCCACCCACCAATTTATACATATACATACTTTGCTTTTCAGTGTGAAAAGGATCAAAGTTAATATCTACGAGAATTCCTTTTGTTTTTCTGGTCATACAAATATGTGGAAATGTTGGGTGGCTTCTTGTCATTTCTTGTTGAAACTTTTCTGTGAATCTCTAATGTTGATATGAAGATGTTTGCTATCGTCTATGGTTAACTAGGAACTTGTAATTGTCTAAATGCCTCCAAGGTTTTCTCAAAAAAAAAAAAAAAAAAGAAAGGAAGCACAAAAACTAGAAAGAAACATAACTTTAAAACAAAAATAAAGATTCTCAGTGGATTGCTACTCATGTTTTAGGGATAATTTCAGAAACCTTTCCTAAGGTTTCTGACAATTTCACTGATTTTCCTGAGATTTGAAAAATTACACATACCTCCCTTGATTTGATAGTTTTAGTAACAAAACCTTAAAATAATATTTGACTTGATCAAATTTTTAAATGAATACTCAGAAATGCTCTTGTGTAATGAGTTTTAATTTACTTCCGTATAGAATTATAAGATTATTTAATGTAATTATAAGGAAAAGTGACAGGTGCCGAACCTGTGCAATAATAATTCTAAAAAGTCCTAATTACCACCTCAATTAAATAGTTATAAAACAAATCCAAGTACTGGAGCACGGACCCTAGGTGTGCAATGGGTTACTTGATTCACCATGTTCCCGAAGAGTTTGCTTGATTCGATATACCGGATTTGTCTATAAAAATATTAATTTTTGCATACAATGGCAAGTAGGGTCGATTCCACAGGGAGCGGGTAGAAAATTATTTCTTTCCAAATCAGTAGAACAAAATTGGGGGATTTTCAATGGGAGATAAATAAATAAAATAAAAGTAAAATAAAGATAAAGCGAACTAAATTCGAAACTAACTCACAAAACACAATTCACTAAAAATAGCAATTAATAAAAGTTCTACCCAAAGGATCAACTGCTCAGGCACGGTCCAATTAAATGATTATCGATGCAAAGATATTTCATCCATTCATCACTAGGTTGGTTATAGTTATCAATAAGCTCTGACAACCAGTTCTTCCTTACCTTTTCGACAGTCAAGGTACGACCATTAACTGCTTCTCTAACCAGATAACAACCCTAGGTACAACCATAGGAATTTAATTACCCAATTGCATTAAAGATAGAAGAACCTAACCCTAACCAATAAACACGCTAAGAGGGTTTATTTAAATTAGATCTTGCGTTTCCCCATCATAAAGCCAATTATGGTGGTTGCCACGGGGTGTCAATTAAATGAACAATTACGGATTCTATTTAACTAACGTGGCGGTAGGCTATTAAATTAAATCAAATACCCGGCCGTTGATATTCAATTAATCAAATACCCATGAACAATTAATCCAGAAAACGCACGAATAATAACGAATTGGAAGAAATAATGAAAGCTTGATTAAATCTCACAGGTGTGATGGATCGCGCCCTCGCGTCAACCTTTGGGTAGAGGAGAAAATTAGCCGCTCCTCATTGTGTCAATCTCGCGTGATTTAATTGAATTCATTCAATTAATTACCGAAGAATTGGAAAAGATGAATTAATGAAGGAACGGCTGAAAAACCTTCGCTTCCCTTTGTTGGGTTACGCGTTCGTACCCCTGGGGCGAAAGTAGAAGCAAAACTCGAATAGGGAAAATTGTACAGAAGTCAATAGCAAAAGCTACAGCAAAAGAGAAAGTCTCCAATGTCTGACCCAGAGCCGCAGAAGAAAACAAAAGAGAAAGCAAAAGTGTCTGACAAGTCTTTTTTTTTTTTTCGAAGTAGAAAATGAGAACCTAAGGCTAAAGTAGTTTTTTTTTTTGAATCTTGCTTCCCCTTTCTTTATATAGCCGCCGCACACAAGAAGTCAAAGGAAGAGACGTCTGGAGCAATTCATCTCACAAAAGCTATCTCCTTTGGAGTTTTGATCCTACGCTTCGGGTTCCAGTGGACCACGGTTCGGCTTTCGGTTTCGTCCACCTCCCAAGGCGTGGCCACGCCCTGGGACGACAAGTCTTCTGGAAATTTGTCCCGCGAGATCATTTTTAATGCCGATCACCTACAATTCATACGAATGTGAGATATGAGTTAAATCTCAGTACTTAGCACAGTAAATAGCCAAAATTAGGCCAAAATAACACTGCAAAATGTGCCAAATAACTGCTCTATAAAAAAGGTATCAAAATTTTCATGTCCATACCTACTACTATTTGATAAACAACTATAATAATAATAATAATAATTTTATCATTATGATAGGATACTTTTGATGGTATTTTATTACGGATTTAGATTTATAAGATAGAAAATAAAACGTTAAAATAATTGATTCAAAGTTTATGAATTTTTTGAGTAGTGGGATTATTATAATTTAGTAGTGATTTTGGGTAATTTTTTTTTATTTATGGTTAATTTTAATACCAAAAAATAGAAAACAAAGATTAGCAAAAAACATCAGATTACATATAAAGTTAACTCATTAAAAAAATCATTAGTTCGACATTTGGTCACAATAGAAACTAGAGATAATAGTGGTAACTTTACAATTTTATTGGCAAAAAATGAAAATAAAAAGGAATAAGAAGGGAAAAAATGAAAAAATAATTTTAAAGTCATTCTAAGTACAAGCATACCAAACAAAGGAATTTCATCAAAGTATTTAAAGGTAATATTGTTATTTTAAATAACAAGAAAAGTATGTGCAATTTTTCAAACTTCAAAGGAGTTCAGTGAAATTGTCAGAAATCTCAGGACTGAAATTATTCCCATGTTTTAATTAGCCCGTATTGACGGATGTGCATGACAGAGCAGTGACGATTTAAACGAAGAAGATGATTTTTTTTTGGGAATTGCAGCTTTAGTCTCCTCGCTTGTGTTTGAATTGTAAATTATTTGAGATAATTTTGTGAAAAAAGTACTGTAACACTTTTTTGATATGATGTATGTGAGATAAAAAGGTGATTAGAAAATGTGTTGATGATGCAAGTAAATCAGTGTCTGTAAATAAGTGTAAATAAAGTGTAATAACTTACCATCCAAACACAATGTTTGTTTTTTGTTTTGACCAATGCCGTAACTTGAGTTGTTTTTCTAATTTGACCTCAATACTATGTTGGTAGTAAGATCCACGGTATTAGAAAGGTAAGAAGTTAGTCTAATTAACATTTATATTTGCCATATTAGGTAATAATTAGTTTAATTAGTCTTCCCATCCTTGAGTTAGGACTTGTATAAGCCCAATGTAACTTTTATTTACCAGTATTACTTGCACATTAAAGCTCAGTTTCTAATATGCAAATCTTGATTTCTTCTTTTCATCATTTTAATTTGTGAATGAGAAGCATAATATATAAAATTACATTTACATTTACGTGGCAAAATCAAATGGTATTTTAAAGGCCATATATATAATCATGTTTATGCAGTAAAAGTGGTTGATTCACCTAACCACATTAAATCTTAGCTTTTTTCGTGAATTGAGACTCTTACAATGATTCAAACTAATTCATACTTAAGAACACAATGAATGATCAACTCAAATTAGTTAAGTGTGATATACTTTCATTACCGACTTTCTATTTTAACAAGATTCTCTCTAATGTTTTCTTTTATATGGAAATAATAAAGTCCTTAAGAAAATTAAAATATTAAATGGATTGGTGATGTTTTGATTCACAAGATCTTGCTTTATTTATCTGAATTCATCTAATAAAATATTAAAGCTCTTATTAATTCATATATGAAGCATGAAAACTGAATAAGTTTGATTCAAATTATTCTTAAATAAGTAATTTGGATAGCAAAAGAATTTTACAATTACTTATATTTTGTTATTAATTAGCACACTAGACTTCAAATTGATGTTGTACTAGTTTATGGGCTCGAAGCATGCATGACCCTGCCAAGACGAGCTCCCTGATTCTATAGCTGCGTTGATAATAAGCCTGCACCAATAGCCTGGTTACAATGTGGTCTTGGTCTCAAAGACTAGGAAAGCAATAACAATAGCACGAAGCAATGAAGTTTTGAAAAAGAAGCACGAGGAATGTAGTTGAAACAGCAAGAATTTTTTTTTTTTTTTTTTTTTTGGGGTTGTAATTGAAACAGCAAGATATCATACATTACCACAAATTTTTACTTCAATCCTCTTACTTGAAAGAAGACGATAACGTAAAACCCTAGTGTAGTGGAAAAGAATAATATAATCATATATTAACTTTGTTTTATTTCAAGATTAATTGTAGAGCTGTGAAAGCATTTGTTAATAAACACAAATTTTCATTTAAATAAACACACTCACGTTTATTAAACTTTGTTGGTTTGATACAATTTCCTATGTTTATGTATAAGAAGCTAAAATTTGGGTGTAACTTTGTAAGGACTAAAAACTATTACTTTTTTGAATGAAAAAATTTGAGTGAATTTGACTGCAGTTATCATCACGGCTAGAAAATCTCCAAGACCATTGGTCACTTATAGAGATTTTCACAGATCGCATCAATAATGGAATCTAAACATATGATTTTTTTTTTATGAAAAAGTGATTTATTCTTATCAATTGTTGTTTTGATTTAATGTCCATTAAGTACATAAACTCTTAACTTCAGAGCCTATTCTATCCAATGATCATGGGATGCTCTCAACTGATTTTGATTTTGTGAGGGATGATTTTGTAAAATTGATTCTTAAAAATCAAAAAATAGCACATGTGTTCTCATTTACTGTTAAAAAAAAGTCATTTTAATAATGCATAGCTGTTCTCGAAAAAAGTTAAAAAGATTATTTTGATAATAAGATGACTATATCATCCTTATATGCTATATAAATGAATTTTTGTACTAATTAAATAATTTTAATGTAATTAATTACTTTCTTATGAAGATTAAATGATGGAACAGGAAAACAAGGGACATATAGATGAATCTAGAAGTGAAATGAGAAAAGAAAGAAAATATAAAGAGAGCTCGGATCGAACCGGTAGAGCCCCGCCCTTGCAATTGGGTCGTTAACCAAACTCTACCTTACGTAAATTTGTGTGGGACATAATTTGTGCTAACTCGAAGACTCTCCGAGACTGTGCCACCCCCCCCCCCCCGCCCCCCGCCGCCGCAGGCAACACAAAAAAAAAAATGTAAAGGGACACTTTACAAAGCATCACTCGGTGATATCATAGGAAAAAAAATCCAGTAGGCGTGTCCCTAGATGATGTACAATTAGAGAACAAAAAGTTTTCTTGCCAAACTCCAGTTTCTTAATATGCTAATTAATCATCTTGACATAAATAGATAATAGTGAAACAGAAACCAAAATTTGAGAGATGATACCAGTAATGTAGGAAGGGGCAACAGCACATTTCCCTTGGGTTCCCTGAACCTTTAGAATATGCTAGGTGATTTGCTAGAAATTCTAATTGGTACCCTTAGTATATCAAAAGAGTTCTATTTCTGATCCACAATGCAAACTCTGGCTCCACCCGCTTTGCTATACTTTATGATTGTGTAAAGAGTGCTGATGTACCTGCCTTTTTTTAGTGTATGAGTCAGAAATTTTATAGTGTAGCTGGATATTTTGTACTGAGAATGTACAGTTCAACAGTTTTGATAGCATAACCTCTTGTCTTGTTCACATAGATATTTAAAAATATTAGACCTTGTTAATTTGCTTTTCAAGGTTTGTGGACACAAACCGTCATGAGTAGTTTGTATTAATCTTATATATGACACTTGACAAAAGGTTCAAGTCGTGTGCAACTGGCTTAAATGATGTGCTGCATGCAATTACTTGCCTATCCATAATTTATCTGAAAGTGTAGTTACAGTTGCACCATTTCTTGTTAATCAAAGCTCTAGACGGATGTGATGGAATATTTTGTGCATTTCAATTCAGAAAGATTACTATGAATTGTTCTCGATTAATTATTTTAATTGATTATATATCCCGATTTTGAAGAGTCAGTTTTTATGATGTTCTCAGTTGCTTTTGTATTATAATTATAGATTTTTCAATGACCAAAAAAGCTAAAATCTATAATGATTTAAAGAGTAATTTTTGCTGATTTTGATTATTCTTCATAATCAATTTTTATAGTTAGATTTTGTAAAATCTAAAACAATCAAGAACAAGGGCTACTTCTTCTGGTGGTTTGCGACCAATTAGCATAAATTAAGGCTTTGTGTGGTTGAATTTTGCTAACATGTCATATTGTTACTCCGATCTTCTTTTGCTTATTGGTTTCAGCTCAACTACAAGAAGAGAAGTTGAAAGTTGACGGCCACTACTTCAATTACTGTCTTTCTTTCATGTGACTTTACCTTTCCAGACCCTATGACCTATGTGTTGGGTTTTTGGGAAATAAGGCAGCCGAAAATTTCATAAATTTTCCCAAAAACCACTCATGATCATCCTAGTTTTTGCGTATGGTTCAAGGAGAAGGGAAAAAACAAATTACCTTAATCCGTATGACATTTTTCTGATGTATTGCAGAAGACGAATGACCCCTTGAGCAGTCAAGATGTCCTGTCTTTGTCAAAATCCACGCGAGAGTGATATCTGGATCATTTTTATAATTTGTGTGTGAAAGTGATGAAAGTTGCCGGCCTTTCTTTTCACTTTTCTTTGCTGTTTTTCTCTCTATATATGTCTCACATATTTTTCCATTCTACGCTCTCTATTTGGTAAAGAAAATTTGATACCCCATTGGAGTCTTAAGTTTTTTTTCATACTAATAGAGGTAAGATAGAGAGAAAAAAAAAAAAAAAAAAAGAAGAGATAGGATCTAATTGTTTTATTCAAGATCAAAACGAAAGATATCCAATAACAATCTCCATCTCTCAGCTATCTGATAGATAGGAGATAACTTTTTTCTCCTATCTGCTTAGATAGTTCTAGAATTTATTTTCTTTGTAATTAAATCCCGAAAGTATCTTATACTTTATTTCCAAGTCTTCACTCGGACACATAATTTAATCTAGAATTAAATCTCTAATGTGTGTGATCCAGTAGGCTTCAAATACATTGGCAATAATTATGACTTATAATTCCCAAAAAGAATTAGATAAAATAAATAACTTTATTTTATCATTAATTATAATAATTAATTAATTCATAATTATAAATCATCAGCTGTGTCTAGCAACATGTCATGACCACCCAAGTACTCGGAATTAGTCAAGGGAATTTTGAGCTAATCTTTCCATGAAAAGTTATCATGTAATTACTGTCCTTTCACCACCGATATCCAATTAGTCAGGGAATAAGGAATGAGTGCCAATTTCCTATTGACTAATTAAATTTACTAGTTCCCAGAATTAACTCTAGATTAGGTTAACTTAAAAATATTTTTCAATTAACCTAACATAGTCGACTTTTTAGGGTTAATTTCCTACTGGTGGCTATCCGGATATCAACTCTTACTATCGGAGTGGTGAATCCTATTTTGATCACTCATTATCTTTCTGTGCTTCACGCTACACCCAATCTCTATTCTCTAAATCACTCTCAGTAACAAGTAATAAAGTCAAAATGTAGTGATTCACACTCAAAATACTATGGTGATCTCAAGTCGTGGGATCATTTACATAACTTTTCATAAGAGATACAACCATTGGCACTAGATAGATATCCTAATGGGATCTCTAAGCAGATCATTCCAATGTATTTGTAATTTATAAATCATCTACACATTAGCCTAGGTCTCTATATACCATGATTAATGATAACAACCACTATTTACATTAAGTAGAGGCTAACTGTGTACTAGTCTTTCCGTACTAATGATGTTCTCTCTCATTAGTACTATGACAATTAAAATTTAAGAATATTACTATAAATGTGATTGATATCTCATAGTCATCAATGCTTGTGACTACCATCACATTAGTAAGTATTCTAAGGATTTTATCAATTATATCAAGCATTTAACAGATATAGAAGAAGTTATTAAAATACAAAACATAATAAGAAATGTATTAAATAAAATCATTGTTTTAGAGCATACATTCCAACACGATGTTTGTATCATCGAGTCATTACTGGCTCTTCATACTCATTGGAAAGTGATCAAGATATTCCATTTCATGGTCTTACCCTCTTTTCTTATCGGTAAATGATACTAGCACTTCTCAAAAAATCTCAAATACTCCTTTTTTATTTTGCATTAGGTGAAGTTTAAGCAGTACTTGAGAAGCGCCAATATCATTTTCCTTCCTTATCAAAGTTGAGATAAAAGGATATTTTATATCTGTAATCAGTAATTTGCTAACAACAGCAGGGAGTTAGTAGTAGTGCCATTTTTGCTCCAGATAGCCTACTGAGCTCTCAAACTTAAACTTTTCCGGTCACTTTACGTGCATCTAAACATTCTTTCCTTTGATAATTGATACCATAATTTGCCTAACATTTTCTCGTGCAATTGTTCCTTTCAGGATAAGAAGAAAAGTTGTTCCAGAGCCCGTTTATATATGGATGATGGATTTTGGCCTGACTGAACATATTTGCAGTTTGCATAACAATCTGATGCCGGCTTGTGTAGTATTAGTTGGAACCTCGTTTCATGCTTGATGCTCCCATGGATGAAAAATGGAGTCAATTCTTGCACAATGCAAACTACATTTAACTTTGGTTAATTTAGATTTAAATTTACTTTTCTTTCGTGTTAGTTCACAGTTGAATAATTCCTACTTGAAATGTACATAAAAGTTTGTATCCTGATTTAATAAATATAGACTAATCTAATCTAATACTATGTAAAAGTATGATGGGAATTTTACCTCGCAAACTTTATCAATAAATTCATAAGGTTTTGGTGATTGTGTTTTGGAACAAGGTATATCCAAGGCCGAAAATGCTTGATGTTTGATCTGCAATTGGAGATTGAGTGTGCATCAGATTTGTTTCGAATCCGGGTATAAAAGAAACATCACACAACATTAAATAGTACACATGTGGCAGATTGAGGATTATTGTACGATTTATTATTATCACAAAACAAAATATTTAACCTACATATATCATACACTCCAAAAAAAAAAAAAAAAAAAAAAAACCAAGGACTGAACATACATCATATCAGATGAATGATATGGCAGAAGACGAGCTCACTTGATAAAGTTGTACTAATCTCATTTTGCACCTTGTTGATAAAGAGCTTTATTAGGTACTAGATTATTGCAAATAGAAAATTTAATGGAAAAATTAACAGGATAAGGTTTTCGAATTGAAGGTGCAAAATGAGTTCAGGCCATAATTCAGAAGATCTTTTGAGCTAACGTGTCATCTGTATTCCAACTGGAGCCATAGTTACCCCAGCAGTCTTTTTAGCAGCATTTGCTTCCCAACCTGAAAACCAAAGTACAATTTAGGGAGACGGTCCATACAGGTACAATATTGAGTATGTGGTTAATTAAGATTAGCTTTTGATTGATGTCTGGAGCATTCGAGCTGGTGAGAAGATTATATAATAACTAATTGGCACAACATGTACCTCAACTCAAGAATGTTATAGAACCTGTGACTGTGAAATCACACATCATTGCTAGTCACTAAAATTCTTAAACATATCATTATGCTATCTCTTAATTTCTATACCTTAGGTCTTTAACATCCTGCATCTTAGACACTTTCACGAGTATTTATCATCCTAAGAGATATAAGTGATTACTGAGTGAATATATATACATGTAACTCTGCCTGTGATGCTACTAGAATCTATGCTTTTACAGAGACTCGCATCTGTAAGTTGCTAAAACACCATCCAAAATTGTTCCAGAATTTAGAATATAAAAAGGAGGAGGACATGGGTAGCAAAATGTTCATACCAGCAGAAACATCATATCCTTGGAACTGAAGTTCACGGTACTCTTGGCACAAGGCGCAACGCTCGCAACAGAAATGAAGGATACAATCATGGCATGAGCCTCCCATAATACCGTATTGTTGCCTTATCTTGGTGCGATAGCCCATGCTAACAATCCATGACAAGGACCCATGATTCAACAGGAGTAGACCTAGCAGACAGAAAACGCACCCCATCTGGCAGCAAGCTATATATCAAAAAATTAAAAGAAGAAGAAAATTAATGATCATGAATGCATTTCATATCTGATGATAGCTAGCAAGATTAATGATGAACAGCTATAAGAAAAGTTCTTGTTTTGTACTTAACAGGATTGGCCTCTATCCGCGATCTCAGCAATCCTCCCGAAGGCAACACAAGGGCACCAGCAGGTAAGGCAACCTGTCAAGCCAAAATGTTCATGAACATGGAGCATGGATTGCATCATAGTAGAACAATTAAGACCCTTAGAAACCTCATCGGATGGTATCTATTGGGCATTTGAGTTCTTAGAACTTACAGGAACGGCAATCTTGGGTGCAACCACAGAGGCCGGTAGACCAGTCGTTCCCATTTCCAGATGCCATGCTTGGAAAAACTAGTAGGGGTGTAGTAGTAATAGGAAACTAAAATTGATTAGCTAGCAGCTGGAATCTGTATTGAAACACAAGAGGAACCTCGAGTGCACTTAATTTTTCAGGGAATGCTTCCTTTCATAGGCGTTATATATAGAGTCGGTCTAGAGAAAGCATAAAGCTAGTGGTCCTATCGTGCAGAAAGCAAATTTGACAAAAGAAAAATGCTGTTCTATAAAACAAAAGACCCTACGCGACAGAAGAAAAAAGGAATAAACGGCTTATCTTCTATTTTTTAGCTAGTTTCTACGTCTGCTGTCTTTTTTCTTTTATTTTTGGGTGGCTGAACTGACAAACTAATCCTCGTTTTTAAAAGCATGGTCTTCAATCTTCATTATACGATTTTTTATCCGTTGACTGGACCACAAAACCATTCACAAAAAGGACTCGTTTTGAAAAACTCATCAATGTCCTTGCGAAGATACTAAGGTATGCCCATGAACGTCTACAGCGTGTTAAACATAGGCCGTTACAGTCACCATCACTACCCAGCTGATTTTCCATGGTGGCAACTGGCAACTGGGGGTGTTCACACGTTGGAAAAAACTCAATTTACCGGCTGATACGTAAAACAAAATTCGGGAAAAACGATTAAGATCTAATCTTAAAATTTGGTAAAATAAATTGAAAATGGATGTTGAAATTCGATTCTCGAATTCTCGAGGCTGATGAATTAGCGAATTTCATATTTTAATTAAATATTTTATGTCTATTAAAATATCATATTACATATTAATGTATTAGTCAAATAGTGTTATAAGTTATAATTTATGATTATAAAAAAAATGTGATCTTAAAAGCATATTAATTAATTTATTATTAACTTTTTTATTATTAATTATGCTTTAAATATACTTAACTAATCTATATTAGAAAACCAATCTACAACTTTGGATATTTTACCGAAATATCGATTGTTTAGTCCAAAGCCAATTACTAAATAAAAGTTTGAACGGTAATTAGATGTTAACCTTATTAAAAATAAAAAAAATTAAATTTTTTCTACTGAATTACCGATGACCGGCGATCAACAATCCTAATGGCAACATACATTATGGCAAAATGACCCTTTCTACCAGGACCCTTCTATGGTGGAAAATAATGGAGAGAGCCGATGGAAACTTCACAGCAAGGGATGTGATGTAGATGATAATAGAGGGACAATTTCATGTGCATTGAAAGGCACATGCATTAGGGATGCAGGCAATACGTCGAGACAATTGTCTTTCCATTTATTTATATTCAAATTTCTGTATAATGTTTTAAGAATCATCTGATTATGTTTTTTTTTCTCATTTTGATCATGAGTAGATCAACACATTAAAAATCGTTATTTAAAAAAAAAAAAAGAATACTTGGGCATTCAATTTGCTTGAATATATAAATGGTGAAAAATTCATCACATAACAAAGTTTTGCAATGATTAATCAACGAATAAAATTGGGTCAATTTAATATGAGTTTCTACATTAACTAACATAAGTGATTGAAGTATAATTTGAACGTTGTGGATTTAAGTTCATTTGCTGTGATGCAATGGAATGGAGAGAAAATATATTTAATTCAATGGAGAGGAGCTTAGTTCATTAGGAAGAAAAAATTATGGTTTGAAAGCAAGCTACATGCATAAGTGGGGCCTGTTTGACAAACAAGTTTTTGACCAAATTTGCCTGCTACAAATTTTTTAACAATTTTGCATATAGCAATCTCAAAAAACTTGTTAAAAATTTTAAACTATAAATTTCAAAATATCCAAAAATTTACACAATTCAAAAATTTTTCCTGCAACTTTTACAGTACGTTACGGTAAAATTTTACACATATATCCAAAAGTTTATTTGCCAAACGAGGCTGTGGATTTGAAAAGGACATTTTAAAAATAAGGCATATATGTAAGGAAAGGGAATGTATACTTACCACTCTTCTATTTGCACATTCCTCCGACCAATTTATACATATTTTTCTTTTCATTGTGAAAAGGATCAAAGCTAATATCTAAAATTTCTGCTGTTTTTTCTGGACATACAAATATGTGGAAATGTTGGTCATCGTGGGAAAATGACCCCTTCCACGGTGGAGAATAATGGAGAGGCCCGACGGAAACTTTACAGCAAGGGATGTGATGGAGACGAAAAGAAAGTGTAATAAAAGGACAATTTTACATGCATTGAAAGGCACAAGCAATTGTGGCATAAACAAGACATCGATCAAGACAAAGGGGATGGAATCCACTAGTTATTCTAGGTTTCTTTCCATTTATTTATGTTCAAATTCCTAGTAGATCATTTTAGGAATCATTTCATTGTGTTAATTTTTTTTCTTATTTTAATCACGGGTAGATCAACATATTAAAAATAGATTTTTTTTTTAAGATTACTCGAGCATTCAATTTGCTTGAAATATTTAAATGGTGAAAAATTCATCGCATAACAAAGTTTTGCAATGATTAATCAACGAAATAAAATTGAGTCAATTTAATATCAGCTTGTGTATGTAATTAACATAAGTGATTGAAGTATAATTTGAACGTTGTCGATTCCAAATTCATTTGTTGTGTTGTAATGGAGTGGAGAGAACTTATATCTAATTCAATGGAGAGGGGCTTAGCCTAGCCCATTAATAAGAAAAAGCTACCTGCAAGAGCGGATTTGATAAGGGAATGTATACTTACCAATCCTGCCTATTCCACCGACCAATTTATACATATTTTGCGTTTTTAGTGTGAAAAGGATCAATGTCAATATTTATGAAAATTCCTTTTGTTTTTCTAGCCAAAAAAAAAAAAAAAAACTAGAAAGAAACGTAACTTAAAAACAATAGTAAAGATTCTCTGTTGATTGTTGGACCTGTTTGGAATCGAGTTTTTTTGACCAAGTTTTTTAACTACTAGTTTTTTAACAACTTTAGCTACAGGAACCCAAAAAAATTCAACAAATTTTTTAATCTACACACTTCAAAATATCTAATACACAAAAAAACTTCTTCTTTTCTTCTTCTTTCTCCGCCACCCCGATCCACCACACATTCATCGCCGCCCACCACCTCCGCCGCAAATCTTGATTTCTTTTCATCATTTTAATTCGTGAATGCCAAGCACAATATATACGAATACATTTCTGTAGCAAATTAAAAGAAAATTTTTATTCTAAGGGTCATATATACAATCACGTTTATGTAGCAAAATTAATTGATTCACCTAACCACATTAAATCTTAGCTTTTGTCATGAATTGAGACTTAAGAACACAACGAATGATCAACTTACATTAGTTAAATATGATATTCGTACTAAGATATATTTCAGGTGCCATATTTTTGAAAATATAAGATTAATTAGAGAAAGTAAATAAATATATGGCAAGATAGGCAAGATTACATAGCTAGGGAATGTATATAAATGCATGCAAGAGAGGATAATAATTATTAGTATGTATATTTACATGGTAGGTTAGGTAATTTTTAGTTGTATTGATGAGTGCCTACTGGGCATCTATTAGAAAAATCTATTTTGTTTTATGAAGCATCAAAACTAAAGAAGTTTGGTTCAAATTATTGTTAAATAAGTAATTTGGATAGCAAACAAATTTTACAATTACTTATATTTTGTTGTTAATTAGTACATTATACTTCAAATTGATGGGGTACTAGTTTTTGGGTGAACTCGCCAAGACGACTTCCCAGATTCCACTACAACAAAAAAGGCCTTTAGCGGCATTTAAAGGTGTCAGTATACAATATCTAACCTGACACTTTATCTATCCAGACACCCAGGACGAGTGTTGTCCCTTCCAATGTGGGGATAGCCTCAAATTTTTAGCAGCATTCAAATGTGTCAGGCAAACCATGCTGCTATATCTTTACCTCTGCCAACAAAATCCTTTTTTTGTGATAATCGAAAGTGTCTGTATAGATTAGGACATCAGTAGGGAATCAATAGGATATCAAATTTATGAAGGCATCTTCAGTTGTCTTAATATACGGCTTTAAGGACACATAGCCATGTGAATCTACAATGTGTTGGACGACATGCCCATTTGTTATTAGTGTTTTTCGAAAGTTAAGCTATGCTGACACTTTTAATTGTCAGGAGAATTTTCTCTGTTTTTTTTTTTAATATGGAAGCAACCTGCAATTAGTCCTCCCTGCTGTACATTCCATCAACCAGAATCCCAAGGGGACTTGTAAATTTATCCCAAAGAGCAGAATGCATATAGCAATGTAAAAGAAGAAGTCGATACTGAAATATAATTCATTGAATTAAAAGTCGATAACAAGTACAAACATAGCAAATACTAAAATCGCAAACAAGTGCTAAAAGCAAGTACTAAAATATCAAACCAGTACCGAAAGATTCTCATTTACAATAACTTGAAAGCTCTATCGGAAGCACAAAATAAAAGACTCTCATCCCTAATAAGTTGAAAGAAGTAGAAGTAGCTTCCAAACTTTCCATTTTGTTGAGAGTCCTCAGGCATAACCACAAAGTCCCCATCATTTTTCAGCTGGTTCCACCTGTGCACAAAGACCAAGGGGATCATTAGATCATCATAACTAGAACTAAAATTCCAGAAAATCCGCAATGTATTTAAGTGCATATCTCACCAAATGACAAGGCCAAGCAACTGGTGCACCAAGTGCATCTTGAATCGTTTGTTGTAAACCATATGGTCTAATCAATTGCTCACGTGGAGTCATTGCAACTTGTATCTGTATTTCACACCAGTTTGGCCCAAGAGCTTGTCCCCCGACCTCATCCAATGGATTCAGACTCCGTAAATATCCCTTTGCCACGATTTTTGTTGAGTCAAACAAACTTTTTAGTGAAACCATATTCCCTACTTAGCAAACATCCAACAAGTACAAGAATCAAACTCATGCCAAATTCCAGATTACAAATGCAAAAGTATAGAAGTTGTAAATACTTACTCGAATAGGTCGCGTGGCTCGCGATGGAGCATGGCTTGACACATTGTTAGATGATGATGAAGGATGTCTCGGGCTGTCAATTGGAGAGCCCCTTCCATGTTGAACTAAAACCATTTTCTTCAAGCT